CCTCTCACACCCCCAATCTTCACACTCTCCACCTCTCTCACTCTCTCTCTCTCTTCTCTCTCTCTCTTCTCTCTCTCTCTCTCTCTCTCTCTCTCTCTCTCTCTCTCTCTTTTTTTTTTTTTTACACAGGGTTTGACAAGGTTAAGGATCCCTAGCTTATTGACAGCTATTTACAGGTTAAGGATTCCTAACTTTATTGGCAAGCTAAGAGCTGTTACCTACATCAGCTCATTTGAAAGCATTTTTATTGTTATGAGACATACAAGTAGGAAACAGGATGAAGTTGGAGCCATCTGTGGGCCAGCATTTTCATTTGATCAACTGACTTTATCTCGTTGACATCATTATCCTGTACGAATGTGTTCCATACTCGAGTCATCCTGGGTATGTATGATCTCAGATGGAGTGATGTTCTGGAGAAGGGTACAGCCAGAGTGAAGTTGCTGCTTTCTGCCCATCTTGTGGCATAAAAGCTTGTTTCACGCTGTCCTCGAAGTGGATCCAAGTGTGGTGTTTTGACAATATTGGCCTTGTACATAACAGTAAGGCCACCCACATCCCTCCTCTCTCTCTCTCTCTCTGTCTCTGTCTCTGTCTCTGTCTCTGTCTCTGTCTCTCTGTCTCTGTCTCTGTCTCTCTGTCTCTGTCTCTCTGTCTCTGTCTCTGTCTTCTAATTGACTAACAAGCACATTTATTGCATAGAATTACAAGGTGATCTAGTAGTGTGAAGAAATCATTTTGTTTTAACTTTTTATACTTGGTCTCCAATTGCTGGTAGTATAATAATATGGGTTTAGTGCTTTTCAGGAGAGTAATAATATTAATAATAGAATCCTTTTAAATGTTGCTAATCTGTTATTTAACTTTTAACCTCTGCATTCTCCAAGTATGAACAGAGTGAGAAGTAAACTTGAAAGCCAGAATTGTGGTTTTAATGCTAGTAATAAAGAGCCAAAAAGAGCTTTACAGCTTGTTGTACTCTTGTTGAACACTTGATCTTGATCTTAGTTTCTCTGCAAAATTAAGCAAATAAAAGGTTAATGAAGTTTTTATTTAATGAAGTAAAAAATCACTGGGCGTTCAAGCTGTAATTTTTGACTAATTGGATTGTGGGAAGTCATATCTATTTTTTGTCCCCATATAACATTTCCAAGCACTGTATCATTATTCATCTTATATAACTTATTTACCATTTTTGTGCTGTTCCATTTATACTCTGTTCCTAAATGAAGTGTTACTACACATGCACTTTCAGATTGTGCAGTTCAATGCTCATGAGGTCTCAGAGTTTGTGTTAATTGCACCCAGGACCTTTGATGGAGCCAAAAATGAATCTCTGGGTGCTGCTATATATCCAACTTTAGCCCTATTCAACCATTCCTGTCACAGCGCACAAGTCAGGTGAGCATGAGTCAGTAAAACAGGCTTGCATTTTTTTTATTTGCATTCACACCTAAATAGTTGTAGTAGAGTTCAGTAGCACATCAGATGTGGTAATAAATGGCTATAATTATGACCATAATTTTTAAAGGGGTGGAGTGGTAATCCAGCAGAAGGCCTCTGTCAGATGACCAAAAGCTCCAACGGCTGGTCATCATCTGACTAAGACTTGCATCAGGAAACACTTGTCCTGTTTCCTGATGAATGTTAACTAACCTCAGATAAGGTCAGCTGTAATTAACCCTTTCAGGGTCCCCAGGCCCTCTCCCAGACTTGTTCTCAGGGTCACCCAAATTTAAAAAAAAAAAAAGAAATTCTTATGAAAAGATAGAGAACCTTTTCCCAATCATAATGACACCAAAAGTATGAAATTTGATGGAAAACTTATGGAATTATGCTCTCGCGAAGTTAGCGGTCTCGACGATGTTTACGCATCGGCGATTTTGCCCACTTTGAGCCCTATTTTCGGCCAATTCCAGTGTACTAGTCGACAAAAATCATAACTATTTCGCTAGAACTCCATTTTTTCTATCGAATGAGTACAAGAAATCACCCATTTACCGATTTCAACTATCCAATACAGTGGTCAGAATTTATCAATTTTGCCAATTTCACACAAATTTCAATAGATGCCAATTTCCAAATAGTATCCAGAATAAACAAGAAAGACATTCCTGGCACTAAAATAACATTTCCTCTGTTCATTAGTCACGTCCCCATGCCCCTCTTACATTCTTTTGCTTTCCACTTTGAATTTTTATTCTCACAAAAAATAGAAGATTTACTGTTATGCAGACTACTGCATTAGTGTAGAAATGGCATAAATAATATCAGCGCACTTGTGAAAGAATATTAGACTCACCAGTTGACGTGTATTGGACGCGTGGCATGATTTGTTTACTTTCGAACTTTGGTAAAAATCTAACATTTCTGCTACTTTGAGCTCAATTTCAAGGTACTTTTCATTGTAAAACCAGTCGAAATCATCTCAATTTCTGTAATATGTCTTCCATTCTATAAAATGAGACCAGGAAAACTAGAATACAAAAATAAATACCATACGAAAATACAGTGCAAAGTTGCTGTTTTAATCCAAAACACGGTCAAAGTTTTCTTTTTCTCATTACGCACTGTGCTGCAGGATTTTTTTTTATACTGTGCACACTGACCACATAGACCCATTCTTTCATATGTAGGCCTACCAGCTTTCTCTCACTAGATTTGAGGGCGCTAGAATTTAGGCGTACTAGTACGTCAAAAACCCTGAAAGGGTTAAAATGTCACAGGCCATATTCCACTGTCCAAGTTTTCTCTAGTAAAAGGCACAGAATGATCCAGGTAATGTTCACAAAGTAACGAAAAATTTTTGTTTTGGTTAAGTATGTTCATAAAAAATAATTCAAGAAAATTTTACTTTGTGGGTACGTTGGAGGGCCCATAGTCGTGGCCTCTGCTAAGGTTTTGCAGACTGATGTGAGCTTCCTTTCTCTTATAACACATTGTAAATTCATTATTGTAGATTTTAGATATGTTCACACATATAAATGATTGAAATTAACTTACAACATTGACAAAAATAAAATTATTTTTAGGATGAATAAATGATTTATAATGTTCAATAATTATTTGTATTTATCTACTAATGTATGTTATGTAAATTCTCAGGTAGATATCAAAATAGTTTTTGGGTTCATTGATTTTTCTGCAATTATAAATGCTTTCACTGGGATTCTGAGCTGTCATGATTAGGACAGGGATGGTGAGGTAAGTGAATGACTAGGTCTGCAAAGAGCAACGAGATGGACCACTTAAATGCTTTCATTTAAGTGAACTTTTGCTTATTCATTTTATTTTCATTTTTTTTTTTTTTATACTTTTTCCTTCTTATAGACTTTTTTTTTTTGGCTACATATGAGAGGACATTAGTCTGTTGAGTTTCCATTTAATGGCTGTATGGTTATGAGAGCAATCCATGTTTTACATATAGTGTTTTGTTTTTAACAGATAAAAAGTTTCCTTCCAAGATAGGGTGACTCTAGCTGTCTATCATGAAGTGCATTTCCATTATGATTCAAATGACCCTTCAGACATTTTGATATTTGCTGAGTATTCCTAATTAAAACATTATTATTATTATTATTATTATTATTATTATCTAAACCCATGTGCATTATTCAATACAAGGAATGAAGGCTCAGTCATCAGTTTGCTAAGTGCAAGACACACTGTACAACTGTACCTAGTTGTATTTGGTTGCTTTCCTCTTTGTATTTTTAATGCATTTTAAATTTGCAGGCTCTTCAGTGGCAACCAGGTTATTACTAAAGCAATCAGAAACATTCGCAAGGGTGAAATAGTTCCAGAAAATTATGGGCAGAGCTTTACCTCCAAAGTAAAGAGCCAGCGGAAGGCAGAGTTAGCTGATAGATATTGGTTTGAATGCAACTGTGAGGTAAGAATATTCAAAGACTATGTAGTTTAAAAGAGAGGTTTTGAAATTAGAATTTAGGCTTAATTAAAATGCTGATATTAAAGCAATGCAAGAAATTGACTTAATAGTGACTTTTGGTCATAACAGTTTTTCATACCTTTTCCCTCCTTTTCTATTGTTCTTGCATCACCTGCTGTTTTCACACACTGCTTTCATTTTTTCCTTATATTTTTTCCCATCAGACTTTTGCCTGCTTTATCTATTTTTTTGAGCACCTTCATGCTTGTTCATAACCCTTTCAGTGGCCATCACATAGATCTCTGTTATTGATGCCAGGGTACCTCACATAGATACATGTATAAATTGTTGTGGCTTCAAATTTGGTGTGAGAGGCCTGGTAGGCCAGCATATAAGAGAATGGGTCAGTGCACTTAGTGACCGCAGTATACAAAAAATTGGTGCCTCCGCAGTGAATTGTGGGTATGCCATATTTAGTACACTTTGTTTACCATACCATATGAACACAAAAGCCTCACTTCCAGGCAAAATGACAACTCCACGAACAAGGATTATGGAACCAAAGGTGAAGCTCAGGGTGCCAGAAATATCACTGAAAACCCCAGTTACCCATAACCGTCCACTTCTTGGGTTGAGTCATCTGAAACATGTCCACCTCATCACACTGTAAGCGAAAGCTCCTATTTTCCCATAACCTGGGTTCGGTGGTGAGGAATAGTGATGACAGTGATGACTACTAGTGACACTGATGAAGAATATTCATCTGTGAAGCATCAGTTTATACAGCACTGCACACTAGTCTGGTAGTGTGCCCATTGCTATCCCACAGACTGCAACAGTTTTAGGAACATAACTAGTGCCTGTATATATTATATATATATATATATATATATATATTTATATATATATATATTATATATATATATATATTATTATATATATATATATATGTATGTATATATGTATGATATATGTATGTATATATGTATGTATATATGTATGTATATAGTATGTATATTATGTATTATATATAGTATATATGTATATATATATGTATATATATATGTATATATTATGTATATATATATATATGATATATATATTTATATATATATATATTTATGTATATATATATATATATGTATATATATATTGATATTATATATATATATATATATTTATATATATAAAATATATATATATATATATATATATATATATGCAAACATTAGAACAGTAGTAATGTGAAACATTTGTATCTGCGTGTTTACCTTGTTTGTACAAACTGTTGTTTTGTAAACAGTGTACTGATGACACTGTTAGTGCAAGTAATGTGTTGCATGTAACAGGTGCATATATGTACATTGTGTATTATATGGGTCTTACAGGTCACAAAGTTACTAGAAAATGTAAAAAATTGTAAATCCCCAGAAAAAACAATTAAAGTTAACCCTTTGAGGGTTTTTGGTCGTACTAGTACGTCTTACGCGTAGGGGTTTTTGTCGTACTAGTACGCATAAATTCTAGCGGCCTCAAATCTCACAGGAAAAGGCTGATAAGCCTAGATGTGAGAGAATGGGTCTGTGTGGTGGGTGTGCGCATTAGGAAAAAAATCTGGCACCAGTGGTGCATTGTGGGAATGCCATCATAGTACACAATTTCCACCGTGCCTCGGTAAGAAGTTCCTCACTCCTCGGCGAATTGGGACACTTTTGTTCCCCAGTGACAGTTCTAATACAGATGGAAGTGACATTTGAAGTGAGTTTCAAGGTTCTGGTGAGGTTTTGACCGAAATAATGACCATAATATGGGGTAATAGTGAGGAAAACCCAGACAACCCACACCCTTCCACCTCTGGTGTGGGCCATCTTGTTCATGTTCAGTTGTACCAAAATCAAAGAGGAAACTCCTATTTTCCAAAATCCCAGACTCAAAATGTGAGCATTGGTGATGATAGTGATAGTGATTATGAACTACAAGCTCTTCAAACTTGTTCCAAGAATGGAGGATGAGGAGGAGGCAGAGGAGGAGGGGGCCCAGAGGAGGGGAGGCAAGGAGGAGGGGGGGAAAAGGGGAGGAGGAGGAGGCAAGAGGAGGGGAGGAAGGGAGGAGGAGGCAGAGGAGGAGGAGGAGGAGGAGGAAGAAGAAGAGGAGGAGGAGGAGGAGGAGGAAGAAGAGGAGAGGAGGAAGAAGAAGAGGACGAGGGGAAGAAGAAGATACTTTAATGATAACAATATACATAATAATAAAAAATACATAATAAAAATTTACATAAAATAATTAATAGGTAATAATAAATGTTCACCCATACAGTAAAAAGATAAGGGGAGATAACATCTGATAAGTGCTGACGTTTGATGAGGGTAAATGAGGGTGAGCTGATGCCAAAAGATGAGATAAACATCTCCCTCCCTTTGTTTTTGCTGGTATACTAACATTTCTGTCTGTCTATTTGCTTGTCTGTCAAGCTCCCTGTCTATCCGGTTTTGTAGCTCTCTGTCTCAGAGAGCCACAAGACTGTGTCATCACTTTTACTCACATCTTAAAAGCAGAGTATAGCACTTTGTCTGGGTTTTTTGGGGTTTTATCCTAGGTAATTTATACTAGTTTTACTTGTTTTATGTGTACCTGTGAGACAGAGATAAAAAGACAGATAGAATGAGGGAGAAAGATAATTAGATAGAATGGGGGAAAGGGAAGCAGCATCCGACCCATTGTTTTGACTGGCGGGAGGGGGAGTGAGTAATGAGACAATATGTCACTTTGACAGCTGCCGACCCCTGGTAATTTACACTATGGAGGAGGAGGAGAAGGAGAAGGGGGAAAAGAGTAGGGGGAAAGAGGAAGAAGAGGAGAAGGGGGAAGAGGAGGAGGAGGAAGGGGAAAGGGGTGGGGAGGAAGAGGAATAAGAGGAAGAGGAGGAGGAAGAGGAATAGTAGGAGGAAGATTAGGGGGAAGAGGAGGAAGAGGAAGAAGAGGGGGAAAGGAGGGAGGAGGAGGAAGAGTAGGAGGAAGAGGAAGGTAGGAGGAAGAAGGAAAGGGAGGGGGAGGAAGAGGAAGAGTAGGAGGAAGAGGAAGGTATGAGGAGAGTAGGGGGAAGAGAGGAAGAGTAAGGGGGAAGAGGAGGAAGAGGAAGAAAGAGGAGGGGAGGGTGGAACACTATTTACACTGGGTACTGGTACACTAACATTTCTGTCTGTCTATGTCTGTTGTCAAGCTCCCTGCTATTGTCTATCCTCTAGCTCTCTGTCTCAGAGAGCCACAAGACTTTTGTCATCACTTTTACTCACATCTTCAAGCAGAGTATAGCACTTTGTCTGGGTTTCTTGGTTATCCTAGGTAATTTATACTATGTATACTTGTATTTATGTGTACCTGTGAGACAGAGGTAGACGGGACAGATAGAAAGAGAGAGACAGATTGAAAGAGATAGAATGGGGGAAAAAGATAAAACACCATTGTGTATGACACAATGTTTCAGAGTTCCACAAGCTGCAGAACTAATAGGAATATGTTTCAGTGACTGTATATTGGTATATATATATTTAGAACAATAATAATAAAAATGTTTTGTATTGTTTGTTTTTGTAAACAAGTTTTGTAAACCATATATTGATAATTATGTTGTGTGCTTATTGTGTTGTATACAACGAGTGTAAAATATGTACATTTTGCAAACCCTTTCTTTGGTCTCATAGGCCACATAAGTTATGTGAAAAAAAAAAATAGTGAAAAAAAAAAACAAACCTTCAAATACAAGTAAACTAAAGTTTACCGGGTGAGCGGCAGTCGCCGCTGTTGCCATACCGGGGTCATTTTCTGCAAACTTCATGCATCCATATTTTCCGTAAGTATTGATGGTAAATTTTTTTTGTTTATCCTATAAAAGTTTAGAAAAAAAAAATCTATTTTTTCATAAGAAAATATAATTTTTTTTTTTTTGAAATTTGGCCGACCCTGAGAACGAGTTTCGGAGAGGGCCTGTCGACCCTCAAAGGGTTAGTTAGAAAAATGTCAAGTGCACGGCAGTTGTGGATGTTTCCATCAGTGGGTCATTACATTCAACTTCATGCCCTTTTATCTCAGTAAGTACTGAGAGGTAAAAATTTTTTCTTGTACCCAGAAAAATGTACTCTTTTTAATTGTTTAAATTTTTTTTAAATTTGGACATTGAGAGCAATTTTAATTTTGAGACTTTGGGCAGTGAAGGGGTTAAATACTTTATAAACAAGTAGTGTTTGCTTCATTTGGTACTAAAGTAAATAAACAAATTATAGTTCCAAGAAAGAAATCAAAACAGTAGAATCAAATTACATAAATTTTGGCTCAGAAAGGATGTAGGAAAGCACTAGCTTGTGGATAATTAAACAGTCTGCAGAGTAGAGCTATGGAATCTAATATCTTGGCTAGAATTAAATATAGTGTTATGAATACTGTTATGATTGGCTGCTTGATTAAGTTTGCCAACAGTGGATAGACCTAGGTTTTGGAGGGAGCAGCTGCTTAGCGAGTGGCAGGAGCTTGCTCAGCCAATAGGATGCCTGCAAACAGTTTTAAGTTACTAATTGGTAAGGCACCCTTGGAGGTCAATCTGTAAGTCATCAGTCTATTAACAGTCAATAAGGACCTATTTACCATTAGACAGCCAGTTACTCCTTCCTCTTAGGAGCATCAGTGGTATGTTATGTTATGCAAAAAGGGTGACATTGTTATGTGAAGCTTATAACAGGGGTACAGTGATAATCAAAGGTACTGTGACAGTGGTGTGTTGTATAGGTTTGCAACAATGGTAACTAGTGATGTAATGTCATGTGACATTGTGGAATTGATGCAGTGATATAATACAATCAGGATACCATCTGGAGAAATAATCCTATCATTATCTAAAAGTTTAGGTATGAATAATTTCATAATATACAGTAGGGCCCCACTTATACAACAGGTTAGGTTCCAGGCTACCGCCATAGAGTGGAAACACCATTTTTTCCACTTAGGAATGCATA